GGCGATGGCGGCCGCCCCCGGCACCACGTAGAACGCCCCCGCCCGCCCAGCCGCGGCCCAGGCCCGAGCGGAGCCTGCAGCTCGCCACTCGCCTCCCGAGCCCAGCGCGTCGCCTCCTGGCCGGAGGAGGAGGAGGTGGTGGAAGAGGAGGAGGAGGAGGAGGCACCGCCTTCTTGCCGCGCGCCCTCGCCGTTGTCTGCGCTCCGCTCTGGACCAGTTTGGGGAAGTTGCCGGAGCCCAGTGTCGCCCAGATGTGCGACCTCATTGAGCCGCAGCCGGCCGAGAAGATCGGCAAGATGAAGAAGTTGCGGAGAACTTTGTCGGAGAGTTTCAGTCGCATTGGTGAGTGGCGCGCTGCCCCGGGCACCCGGCCGGTCGCCCCCGTCGTCTGCTCCTCCTCCCCGCGCTTCTGGCACCACCAATGCAGCGGCCACCCGGGGCTGGCGTGGGGTGCGCTGCGAGCGGACGGTGGACCGAACAGTGCCCGGACCTGGGGGGAGGGCGACAATGGAAAGGAGAGACACCCCTCTCTCAGGATCTGGGGGTTCGTTTGTGGATGATCTTAAGCCTACAGTTTGGGTTCCGTCTCCTCGCCACTAGCGCTCGGGCTTTCGCGCCCGCGGTGGACAGGCGATGGGACGCCCCGGGCCCCGCTGCGCAACCGGCTGCACGGCCGCCTGGGTCACTTGTTATTTTTATTTATTTATTTATTTATTTATTTATTTATTTATTTATTTATTTATTGCGTGCAGGCTTTGCTCTGGGGTGTTTAGTAAATAATTTAGCTTTGGAAATTGGTGAGACGTTGAGTTGTGCCTTGGTATTGTTTAAGACATCCAACCTAAAGGGAACTGGGACAGATACCTTGGGACCTTTTGTTCGGTACTTCGGGTCTTCGAAAGCGAGATTTGGCTGTTCCGTCCCGAGCTCTCTGAATCTTTCCATTGCGGCAAATAAATGCGCGCTGTGAACTTATCTGAACATTTAGGAATGAGTCTCCCGAACTTCTCACATTTACTAGAGCTCCAGAACTATTGTCTTTAAACCAGCCAACCAACCAACTGATGTACAAATAAAAACTGACTGAGAAATGTTTAGGACATTTAAGAATAAATCCATGTCACAGACTATAACAGGGTGACAACAGTATTGTGTGGAATGGGTTTGTTAGCTTTTTAGGGTTGGCCATAGAAAGCCCCTTTTAACCTTAAGACGGTAGCTGCTTCCTCTAACATTATAACTTTCATTTATGTAGGTAACTGTTTTCAGCAAGAGAATCATACAAACACTAAAAATAACCCCTCAGATTCCCTAAGAAGCCTTCTAGCCTTTGTTTCACTTGTTTAACATGTCATCCATGTTAATGAACGTGTTAATGGAAATTAAGCATAAGGTACTTAATTCCTTAAAATAAACCCCTGGGGTGCATATGAGTGTTGTAGTCATCCTTCCATCCCTTCCTTTAAAAATCATTTTATAAGTGCACTCTAAAATATGCAAACTTTGTTCAAGCAAGAGAAAATATGGATCAAAATTTAGCCTAGTTTTCTTTGTTGTCTTTAACTTAAAATTTCCTATTGGTATACAAAATCTCTCCCAAAATGGCTGTAAAGTTATGGTGTGAAACCAATATTTAATCCTGGTTTTACTTATTACATGTATTGGATATTTGCAGTTTCACTTTTACTTAGGGATGCATATGAAGAGTTCCTACATGCAAATGAAGATTGAAGCCAAGAAGAATGTGAGAGAGCAAGGTGTTGAGTTGGTGTGCATTTTTAAGGAGAGTGTTCTGCCCGGGACCCAAACCATCACAGAGGCGGGTTCTGGAGTCCATTAAGCCCTGTTCTAAAACACATTAACTGTATATTTACTAATGCTAATGACTCTGTTGGAGCCCTTCCAGTTTTGTGTTAAATAATTCATTGCAGTTGAATCTCAGTAAGAAACCAAGGACATTAATACAAAAATTCCTTATGTTTAAGCAATTTCAAGATTTTGATCTCCAATCAGTAAAATTTGGATTAACTACAGTGCTGGCAAGTGTGGGATATTACAGTTAATTGGATTTTCTAGCTTACTGAGAGTTAGTGATGTGAAACTCCTTTTGATTCCAGCACTTCTAAAATATGTTCTAAGATATAGTAGATTTTACTTCCTCCCTTTCAGAAACAGTACAGTGCAGTGAACATAACTGATTATTTCTTGTATTGATGGAGGGTCATGATTCTGAATAGTAACTCTCATTCTGGAATACTGTAAAAGGAGATAAAGAGGTTTACATGGTTATGCTTGTATATAGCAAACCCAAGACATGCACTGGAAATGGGATTACAGAAAAATGCATCTTTGTTATCTATGTATTTTCTTAATGTTTTATTAGCAAAATTACAAAGCAATAAAATCAATTTGATTATGTAAAGATTTTAAGGTGCTTGAGGCTATAGAATGGAGTTTTTACTATGGAATTATATAGTGCATAGATTCAGGATGTGGGCTGTGTGTGTCAGACCACTGGGATTTCCCATCTTGCCACTTGTAGCTATGTGACCTTGGACAGGTCCCTCCACTTCTGAGCTTCAGTTTTTCATGTACAACTCAGTTTTGTTATTGGCACTTAGTGAAATAACGCATATGATGTCCTGTATGGTACGTAGTGCAGACTCAATAAATATTCATAATATGTTATTATCGTTATTGGTGATTATATCATATTGACATAATTGATCTTCTAGTGGGAAGCAAGAGAAGTGAGGGGAAGAAGTGGCTACTGACTTCACAGTATAAAAACAGGATGGGTTTTGGAGTTAGTCTGGTCTGGGTTTGAACCCTGTTTTCCCAGCTTGCTGTGTGCCTTGGGCAACTAGCAGAATACCCCTAAACTCCAAAGTCCACAGGTATAAATTTTCTCAAGGTTGTTGTGAAGATTAAATCAGGTAGGACACATAAAATATCTAGTGCAGTATCTGTTACATGTGAAGAACAGTACTGGGGGCTGATATTCTTCCTTCCCATTTCTCTGTTTATCCCCATCTTCCTCCTGTCTTCATTGGTACTTCACGAGGAGATCAAAGAGCGAATGGTTTATTCCTGTTGAATAATACAACATCTCTTTTCATTCCCTTTAACCAGTCTACAATGGCTTTTGAAATAAACATACTGACTTAATTTTGCTTTTTTAGGATGATTCAAAAGTGTAGCTTGTTATATGGCAAAATATACAGTATCATTGTTTAGCCATGAGAAATTAATCATTGATAGAAAATGAGGACAACGTTTGAAAGTATGTGATATTCAGTGTTTATTATTAACGGTTTTGACTATATAAAAGTGGTAATGCTAATGTTTAATTTATTCACACTTGAGTGATCATGTCAACTTTGTCACTACCCATCCCAAATACAGCTGATCTGAAATTACTATGTTATATAAGGTCTAATAAAACACATTTGCTTTCAAGCCATAGCACTCTAATTTATGACATCTGCCAGAGAGTGACTATAACACAGTTACAGTTCTTTTATAAGATGGGTGTAATTGAATTTCAAAGGCAGTCACTGATTTCAGTGGTGAGTATTTATCGTTTTCTGCTAAATAGTGTCAGTGTGTTCACTTATTTAGGAACTACTGTAGTTGTCTTATGTTTTTTGTTGTTGTTTGTTTTTTTTTTTTGGTTAGCATAAAAAACGACAAATGGGAACTTAGTTGTTAAAAAGGTTATATTAGGGGCTCCTGGGTGGCTCAGTCGTTGGGTGTCTGCCTTCAGCTCAGGTCATGATCCCAGAGTCCTGGGATCGAGCCCTACATCGGGCTCCCCGCTCCGCGGGAAGCCTGCTTCTCCCCCTCCCACTCTCCGTGCTTGTGTTCCCTCTCTCACTGTGTCTCTCTCTGTCAAATAAACAAAATCTTTAAAAAAAATAAAAAAAAAAATAAAAAGGTCATATTAAAATCCTTTTCCTCTTTCCTTTCCTTCTTTCTTTTAATTTTTAAATGATAGCCTAGGAGGAGGAAGGCTTTCTGTAATATCTGGCGTAAGAATAAGGTCAAACTGGCATTTCTTCATATTCATTTGAGTGCATTTCTTCACACTTATTTGGATTAACTTGTAGAGAAAGGAAGTTTGTACTCTGTGATATTGGAGATGAACCCCATGTGTACCATTCCTTTAAAAGATGTAGTTTGTGAGAGAACTGAATGAAAGGAAGAGGCTATGGTTACATTGAATTTTGGGGTTTGTTACCTTGTGCTGTAAGTGTGTAATGTAGGGTCCAGCGGTCATGTGATAAGTCCATTCTTAAGGGTAAAGGTTCAGGCACAGAATTTAAATATAGTACCAATGTTCTCTCCCCATGTAGTTTCAGAAGATTTTAATTTGCCAACTGTGAAATGGAATTTATATCTATGATCCTTTCATAAGAGAAAATGGTGTATGGTTTTCATATACCAAAACTTTAGTGTGTCTCAAAATATAAGAGGCTATTGTTTTGCCATTGAGGTAGAACTCATTAATTTAACAAATAATTATTGAGTACGTCATATGTGCTAGATACTGTGCTGACATTGAGATTCAGCGGCCGCTCTTACCAGTCCTCAAGGACTTTAAGAGGATACAGGCCAATGAATGGGCATTGACAATATAGAGTGACAAATTTTACCAGGAAGATTAACATAATTTGCTGTTGGAGAACATACGAAGGACACCACTTTAGTCTTGGTGGGATCATGGAAAGCTTTCTGGAGGAAGCAGTGTCTGAGTAGAGGACTAAATAGGGTATCTGAATATCTTAAATGATTTAATATATACCACCTTGTTAACCCATAAAAATGTAATATGCTCGCTATTCCAAGATATCTTCGAAGACAATTGTGAGTTTACATTTACATGAATGATTAATGACAATCAGGGAATGTAATCAATAATGAGATGTTGTGTGCTTGTTTAGGTCAGAGTTTATTCATCAATGACCTGATAAATATTTGGCAGAGACATCTTTAATTGGCCTTTGTTGTTACTGTTAACTGCTGTTCAGGGCAAGGATTCAATATTTATAAGTAACTGTATAAAGTGTCAGTCTACCAATAAAGGGTTTCAACGAAGCCATAGCTTTTTGGGGTCTTAAAGTGTTCTCCCCTGTGGTATCTTGGGCTTGAGAATAGAATGCGGGGGAGAGAATCTAGCTTCCTGCTACTTATATTTTAGAAAGCACAGCTGCAGTTCCTCTTCTGTTTCTTCCTTCTCTTTCTGTTTTCAGACCCACCTCTTTATCCAGGAGGCAAGAAAGAAAGAGCCCCGTCCAGATGTCAGAGACATTTTAGTTTTTTGCTTTCTCTCAGCTGGAGGGTCTTCATTCTGTTTGCAGTTACCCGAAGGATAGTATCAAGTGTAGTTCCTATTTGATGCTTTGCTTAAGGCAACCCATGGCTAAATTTTGGAACTTTATCATGAACTATAGGAAGTTTGTGCTGTGAATTATAAGTTTGGTGCTTTAGCTTTGCATCTTGCATGACAGCCACATAATTTTTCATTCATCTTTGTTAAATGAGCTAGGTATGAGGCTGTACAGTGATTGACTTTGTATTTGAAATCACTGAGCTAATCATTTCTTATTCCAAAAAAAAACCACTTTTTTTTTTTTTTAGATGGGACAACTTGCCTATATTTATGTAGGTCATTAATATTTTATCTAGGAATCACTACTCAAGTATGTTGATTAGAGGACATGCCTTAGGTTTGAGGGAAGTGAGGGTTGTAGTTCAGTAACATGGTTGGTTGATATTTAAAGAAAGCCTTCCAGATTAGAAGTTTTACATTCTAAGTTAAAATATAGCAATTAAAGATCATCTAGGCTCTTAGCTTTCTCAATAGCTTTCTATCGAAATAGCTTATTTTGGATTTAATGTAAGTTAAAGCAAACACATGATAAAATGTGTGTAAGTAATTAAATGCAAGATAAGCCATTTCAGACTAGGAGAAAGGGCTGTTTTTTAACTTTTCACTCAGAAGAAGTTGTCTTCCAATAAAGCAAGTAGAGAAATTTATTACAGATCAGTTTCTTAGGCAAAAAAGAGGAGAACTAAGAATTAAACTTTCAAAAACATTTTATCCCCCTCAATCTGCCCTCATCCACCTTAACTCTCCACAACCTCATCTATAGTAGGAAACAGAAAATATCCTTTTCAAGATTGCTAGACTGTATAGTATAGGCTCTGAAATGATAGCTTCAGGGCGCCTGGGTGGCTCAGTTGGTTAAGCGACTGCCTTCGGCTCAGGTCATGATCCTGGAGTCCCGGGATCGAGTCCCGCATCAGGCTCCCTGCTCGGCAGCGAGCTTGCTTCTTCCTCTGACCCTCCCTCCTCTCATGTGCTCTCTCTCTCTCTCTCATTCTGTCTCAAATAAATAAATAAAATCTTTAAAAAAAAAAAAAGAAAGAAATGATAGCTTCAGTTTAAGCACATGACTTCTCTCAGAGCTTAATTGCCAACATAATTTGCTTTCCATTGCTTTTGTCAGAACATAGCTTTCCAAGTAAGAGCGACACAAGTGCTTCTATCCTGACTAGAACTGTCTAGTATAGACCAGTAAACACCTATGCACAATTCTATAAATTGGAAACATTTCTCCAATTAGTGGTTTCAGCCAAATTAATTCCTTTGTGCATTCTCCTTAATATGAAACATTCTAAGTAATTGTAGGATTTAAGGAACTAGGGTGTTTGCCAACAATGCATGAAATACTTCTCTTTCTCTTCAGAGTAATAAAATTCCAGTTCTGAAGCTGCATATTTAAATAAATTTTAAGTATTTGCTAACTCCTATAAAATATTCTGAATGTATTGTTTCCTTTCGTGATACTTTGTTATAAAATGGATCATGTTGAAATGCTTGAATTATGTCTCTGCAGTGCTTATTTTACATGCTTAGTCTTTTCTCACCGTATTTAAACTTCCCTCGGCATGAAAATCTCATTCAGGGCACTGTGCAGAGGGGGTGTCATCCTGACAATTGGTTTGGGAGGACCACACACTGTGCCCAATGATATATGCTCAAAACCCAGGAGTTGAGGGGGAAATTTCTTTAAGATTACTTTTTGATGCTTTCATACTTTCATTAAAACGTTTTTCTACTAAAGAAGAGATAGGGGAAAGATATGCATACTTCTTTTCCATACTTGGGAGGATCGTCCATTTACATATTTATGAAAGTGTTTCACAAAGATGCATGCTGTGCAATTCTCTGTCTCATTTGCAGCTTTCCTATTTGTATTGTAACATTGTTATTCAGGTTGGGGTACAGTTTTACTTTCTGAAATGAAAACACCATACTGCTTTGTTTTCCTTCTGTTTTCTAGAACTTAGATGCTTAGCCTCTTTGAGATGTTTCACAATAACTGTTTCCTTTCCCTTTTTATTTTATAGCTTTGAAGAAAGACGACACCACCTTTGATGAGGTAGGTTAAATTTCTTTATCTAATGTTAGATGTATTTAATTACCACCAGGTACAGTTAATAGGTGCCAACTTCACACTTAGAAAAAAAATGCCTTAAAAAAAAAGATGACATCTCTCTAGTTACATTATTTTCAGTTTTAAGTAATCATTCAAAGGAGTTTTGGTAGCAATCAACATAAATATGTCTTTTTAAATGAATAAAGGATACCCACTGGCCTTTGTATTGCTGCTTTCTTAATGGTGGTGGAGCTGGTGAAGCCCAGTGTGAGGTGGATGCTTAGGACAAGTCTGGAGTTGTTGGGGAGTTGGGCATCACGGCTCCCTGCAGCCCTCCTCTGACTCCGGGTGTGATGTGATGTTGACGCCACATATTGTCTGTGAGACTCCCAGAGGAGAAGCTGACTTTTCCTGTTCTTGTTTTTCTATTCTTTGTATATCAGATCTGTGTTTATCTACTTGCTACAAAGTAGCAAAAAAAAGTCTGTTCCAGTAAGGCCGAGGGTTCCTATGTAATTAATAGCATTCTGAATGTGATTTTTAAATTGTATTCTTTTCTGAGTTTTATGTAGTATCAGTGGGAATCATGAGAGACACAATGTGTTTACAAAATATTCTCAAGAGAGCTATAGAGTGAAGTGTTTCATTGTCACCATCCAAAGCCACAGTTACTGATCTGTGTTATAAACTGGGCCACGTGTGTCTATATATTGGGAGTTTATATGTGAACACAGAGGTATACACACAACGTGCTTATCCTGCAGCCTAATGGAGCCTAGATTAGTTTGGTTGTGGTTGTGATTTTTCAGTTGCAGATTCTATGAAATATGCTACCTGTCGTCCCTCTGTGTAGTGCTTCAGAGAAGTGAGGACATTTGTGCTCAGGGAAAGGCCCCTTGACCATGTGGTTGGCCGTGGTGCAGGGCAGGACCACACAGGGAGAGCCTGCTCCAGATTGGGATTTTGGATGGGGCCAGTGACGTTTGGTTCTCATGGTCTGCTGCTTCGTCGTTTGCACCTGTTCTTTTTTTCCTGGCACCCAACTCTGTGGAGCTATGTGTCCCTGGACTCCAAAGCAACTTCCCCTACCAGGAGTCCTGAAACATCCTGTAAAACTTAGTTATTTTAGACCTGAAGCAATAGAGGACTATTTTCTTCCTCATCTGTAGTAGGTAATAATGATGTTCACCTCTAAACCTGTATTTCTGGAATGCCTGCAGTGTTACTGAGATGCTTCTAGGAGAGTATTTTCTTCTCAGAAGAAATCAGTGTGAGAATATTGGACACCTTTTCTCTCTTTGTAAAGAAAAGTCTCCCCTCTAATTATGGAGGTAATTTAAGCTTACATAAAAAAGAAAAATAAGGAAAAAGAGAAAGAAAAATCTCCCAATCCTATTATCTAACTGCAACCACTGTTGAATGTTCTTGTTTCTTTCTCCTTGTTCAGAAACCAAAAAAAAAAAAAAAAAAGCCGTATATTGCATCCTGCTTTTTTTCTTATAAAAGCAATAATGTGGTATTTTCCCATGTTTTTACAGAGGACTCCTAATCATTATTAGGGATTTGAAAAACCTCCTGTTTAGTTTAAATACCATTGTTAATGATTGTATGTTATTTTGTCATGTGGCTGTGAGATTAGCTTTCACAAAAACCTGAGGCTGGAAACTAGATGAAAGTTAAGGATATATCAAGCCAATAACAACCCACCCTCCTTTACCCAGAAACCTCTGCACAAAGGTCTGGATTTTGTCATTTGGGGCAAAATTATCCTTAGCTTTTACAAAGTGTTTTCCTTCCTCTGCACCGCAAGAGATTGGTTAAAAACCTCAAATTAGTAAATTGCAGAATGGTACACCTGGAAGAGATGTTGGAAATCATGTGACCAACTTCATCATTTCACTGATGAAGAAATTGAGGTGCAGAGGGGCTAGGGAATTTCCAGTTAATTATGGGAAGTGCCAGGGTCAGGCACCTAGGAGACAGCAGTAGTAAAGTCATGCCTGGGTGTAAACCCGAACTTGACTACCCTTTCAGGGGCAATTGACTTACTTTTTCCAAACCTTTTATCAATTAGAGATACTTATCTCCCTCCTAAGATTGTTCTGAAGATTAAATAAGCTATGTATGTAAAGGTAACAGGTAGTGATGGGCACATAGTAAGTGTCTCAGTTGGCATTGTCATTGTCTTTGTCGTTATTATCACCATCATCATCATCATCATCATCATCTCTTTACCGACGTTCTCACCATGACATCACCTTCTGTATTTGGAAGGGCTACAAGGAGGAAGGAAAGATTTAGTTCAAAATTAAGAATTAGAGTTATAAAGAGAGTTACTTTCGGATATTCCTCTAAAATTCAGCTTTGTAATCCTCGGGTGTCTTGCACGTGGTTAACATTCAATAAATATATCTGTTGAATATGAGTAAATATCTGTTGCTAATAAGGAAAGAGAGTGTTGAACCAAATGTCAGTGTGGATTCTCCTTTGCCAGTTTCTAGCCATTCAGTTTTCTCGTTTGTAAAACCAGTCAGGTAGATAGATGATCATCCTCAAGTTGCTTTCTATCTTTAAATGTAGGCTGAAATCTTACGAATTTACAATTTTACTAAATCAGAAAAGAGCACTGCATCTGTGATTAAATAAACAGAAAATCACCAAGTTGTTCAATGACCATCTTCAAACTACAGTGTTAGAAGTTTTCTTGAACTCATTTCTTGGTCTTCTTTTCCTCTTGTAGTCTGTTGGAATTCAGGTAAGATTTGACTCTTCAAACGTGGGGGCTGGGTAAGCTTCTTAGATATACATCAAGGTGTGGCAACTCTCTTCTTACTCAGTATTTATGAGGTGGAGGGCTACTTAGCTCGAGGCTAGAGTGTAGTTGCTACTCCCTGATTGCTACAGAGGATTTCTCTAGGGTTTGTGTAAATGTTTGACCTTGAGGAGAGGAGAAAAAGAAATGTGGACCTATTTGAAAGACCTATTTATTCATTCATTCTTAAATAGGCTAAAATACCATGACTGCAAATTTTTATAAGCATCCTGGAATTATATTCAGGAACAGTGTGCTAATGGTTGTTGTAGAGAGAGAATGAGGCGCTTTGGAAGTTAAGTATGGAGGGATGTTTACAATAGGCAATTTTGTTGGAGTAGGAAATTTTGTTGAAGCCCATCATATTTGGGGAGAGGATGACCTTTTGGCCTTCATTCATTGTGTATCTGGGCCCTGATTAAAATAGGAAGCATTTTATGCTCTGCGGGTTTAATCTATATATTTGATGTGGATAGACTAACCATTTATAAGGATATCAGGATATCCTTATATAAAGTTGCAGAACTTTCTAAATTCTTTCTCACCTTTTTGTCCCCAGTAGATGTCGTAGGCCATGTCCCCTGAGTGGTCCCATTTTCCCTCTGCCAGTGAACAATACTATACTATGACTTCAAGGAAGGCTTTGAATCTTATTTTTTATTTAGTGATTTGTTTTGAAATGAGACCTAAAGTACATTGGGGAGGGTATGTGCTATGGTGAGCACTCTGAATTGTGTAAGACTGATGAATCGCGGACCTGTACTTCTGAAACAAATAATACATTATATGTTAAAAAAAAAAAAAGAAGATAGTAGGAAGGGAGAAATGAAGGGGGAGAAATCGGAGGGGGAGATGAACCATGAGAGACTATGGACTCTGAGAAACAAACTGAGGGTTTTAGAGGGGAAGGGGTGGGGGATGGATTAACCCAGTGATGGGTATTAAGGAGGGCACGTATTGCATGGAGCACTGGGTGTTATATGCAAACAATGGATCAAAAACTAATGATGTAATGTATGGTGACTAACATAATAAAATTAATAAAAAATGAAAATAAAAAAATAAAATGAGACCTGAAGTATAAAAGGTCAGAAAATACGGTTAATCTCTTCCAATGTAAAAGTACTTCGCCTAAAACTTTCCAAACTTTGAAAGTAAAAAGTTCTGAGTAAGTATAAACATGTGTATAGAAAGAGTTGGAAATGTCTAAAGCCACAACAATTTATGAATTGTTCTTGTGTGTAAACGAAAAAGGTTAAATTGTGTCGTTTTTGTTCTGCTTCATGCCTTTGTGTTATTTTAGCTCTGATGAATTGCCAGAACAAAGTGTTGACTATGCTTGGCTCTTTAGTGAGATATACAAAAATTCTAGTGATTGAAATAAACCTTTGAAAATACAAAGAGTTTTGTTTGTTTATCATATATAATCCAGATAATTAAGCACTTATTTGTTTGGAAAAAAATGAATGGTCACTTACAAGTTTTCTAATTCTTCTGTGCTCTGGTCAGTTGTTCCTTGTTTGCAAAGTAGAAGGGACTGCCAACACAGGTTTTGGCATTTTCCAGCTATTTTATTTCTTGTATCCTAAGGAAATGTGTACAGAGCGTCTGAAATGTCTTAACATTTTTACATCTGATCCTTAACTTCCTCAAGTACATTTTTATAGGTTAACTTGCTTCTTCTCTACTTAATATAGTAATTTTGTGTGCTAGATGGGGGTAGTATGCCTTGATCTCTGCTTCTAGTCCAAGCCCTCTTTGTAATTATGTATAAAGATACACTGGAGAGGATAGATTTCCAGTAGTGATTTTTCTGAGAACCCGATTCTCGGAATCAGGTACAAATATGATTTGGGGATACCCCTGGGCATTATGTTCCCTGCACTGTGGGTGGTGGGAGCTGTTGCCGTTTTTTCCAGCACCTAACTGCTGTTACCATCTCAGGCCTCGGAATCTGTGAGTAACGTATAGATTGTATACAGCCGTCTAGCTTCCGACTTCCCAGACTGCCTCATGGAAAATACGAAATCCCAGTAACAGTCTTTCCCTGTTAGCTTCTTCATGCTTTCTTTTCTTTGCTGGCTCCCTGTTTCCAGATGACTCCTTCTCCACCTGCCCTGTCCCCTTCTTCAGCCTGCAACCCATCCCCCTCTTCTGTTTCCTTCTCTCTTCGTTCATTGTACATCACTCC